ACCCCCTACCTGTCCTGTGACCCTGGGCTCCTGAGGGCTCATTAGTATGGCACTCTGGCCCCATCAATCCAACCCTGTCAGACTGAGGACTTATACTCCTTTCTCCTGTCTGAGTTGCAGACACTCATTCTTTCAATGACTGTTTTCTTTACAATATTTACATTGGTCCCTCTTCAACCTGCCTCAAGGCTGATTTGGTCACTTCTCTGAACATGGCCACCACTGTTCTGGCCAGCCTCTTGTCACTCTTCTCATCTGGATCTTTATTGTTAAAATTCTCCTTAGCTATTTCTAACAACTGTAACCAATTCAGCTTCTCAAACCCTTCTAATTTCGGTAACTTCCTGTGCCAACTGGGTGACAAAAGCAATATTAACAGCCTGCTGGTTGTCTGGGGCATCCAGATCAATGGAGTAAACTTCTGGTAGGCCTCCCAGAGGTGCTCCAGGAATCCAGCAGGAGATTCCTAATTACCTCAGATACCTTTAAGAATTAGTTGTTTTTGAAGCTGCTGCTCTCATTCCAGTCAGAAAGCCCCAGGGACAGGTGTCGAATGCCCCTGTATATTGATCAGTCCTGGGATCCCAGTTTGGTACTGCTGAGATAAATAGTCACTCAGCTCTTCTTTTTGCATTTTTCCCTGTTACCCTGGGATTCTTTGAAGCCTACCTGGCTTCAGTCATGGCTCAATGCCTCTCCTCTGTGGTGAAAAGGATACCTAGAAACTGCTTAAAATCAGCCCCCCCCCCAGTAAAGAAAACACTTTTCAACAGGCTGATGAGGGCCTGAGGTTTCTCAAAGGCGGAAGGCTGGGTCTTCCAGTTATTCAGATCACTGGTTGAAAAAAGAAACATAAACTAGAAAAGGAAGTCCAGGCCTTTGCGACTCATCAGCCCTTTTGTCTGGCAGGGTGGGGGCCCACTGAGGAGTGTTACTCTAGGAGGGAGAAAAGCAAGGGTCTGGCTCATGTCAGTTATAGCATAATCCAGCCTTCTCCTGCTATGTGAAAGTAATGTCAAACCCAGAAAATTCTTGGGACTACAAGTGCATGGTCCCCTCAGACATCTGGGTCCTTGGCTGCCTGGATATGTGGACTGTGAGGTACAGGATTCTCTGCCACCTCACCCCCCTCCTCCTCTTGCTCTTCTGGGACAAGAATAGAGAGTACGGGCATTTTGCTTAGGTTTTTCCTCAGCCTCTGACTCATTGACCTGATAACTAAAGCAGAGGAGCCTTGTTTAAGGGCAAACATTTCAGCTAAGGAGGGGGCATCAGCAGCCAGTGTAAGGCAGGGCATCCTTACACAGGGTTCCCTGTGACCACTGGCTAGACTCTCTTTGCTGTTTTGGGGTCAAATGACACTACATCTGGCCATACCACATCAAAAGTGCCCCATTCTAGTTCTCAGAGAGGGAAGAGCTTCACAGGTGACATCTTAGCTCCATAGACCCCTTGAAGAGGTCCTTGAAGTGCTTCAGATTAATTCTAGAGGGCTTAGCTGTGTCAGTCTGACCCCATTTCTGCAACAAACATTATAAACACACCAAAACAGGTCTCCTGCCCTGTCCCTGGAGACTGGGTCTACAATTGCTTCCAATCTCCCCTGTATCTCTCCAAACGTCCAGACATCCAGAATCCACTGATTGGCCCTGTTTTAGGAGCATGTCAGCCAGAAATTTTTACTTTTGCTGTGTTTTCATTTTGTAAATTGGTGGTAGCCACAGCCTGGGGCTCCCCTCCTGGCCCCAAATCTATAAATGTGTTTGCCCCTGACTAGGGCTGTCCACCTCCAGGGCCTCAGAGTGTGGAACCTGCCCCTGCTAGGACCTATCCTGGACCCCAGGCCTTGAATCTGGATTCTTCCTGCATCTTACTGGGGCCTTCAGATATTATGGAGCTTGAGATGACTGGGGAGAGACTATCAGGCTAAATTCAGGTTATAATTAGCCAAATTTATTAAAACTGCTAGCTGTTCTGTATTGAAGAGCATTCTAGCGCTGCCAGAAGTTAAATAATGATGTAGAGACGTATTAATATGTATAAAAAGCTTAGGCATTTAGCATGGACTACCACCTACCTAGCTCATCTAACTTGATCGTACTATTGAAGCCCATGACCTGCCATGTGGCTAGTTCTTTACATCTCTCCGTCCTGGTATTTCCAACCACCTCCCTGTCCAGGTGGTGAATTCCCTCACCTCTAATTATTCTCTTAGAGACCCCCTCTCAACCCAAAAGTTCCTCCTCTCCTTTTCTGCTTAGCTATCGGACATCAGCTCCTTACTAAGCCAATCTGCTAGTAGGTAGGGAGGAAGAGTGCTCACAAAATGCTGAGGCAGGTGATGAGCCATAAGAAATAACAATACCAAAATCTGGCCAGTATTCAGCTCTAAGCCAGTACACCAATCAACAACTGAATGTATAGAAACAGACTTCAACTTCACACAGTGTCCCCAAATGGGCTGCAATCCCTAACCCAAATCAGAAACATGCCACAGAGAAGTAGGTGAAGGAAGGACTTTTAAAGGCAAAAATCTCTAGAAGTTCCTGGGTGTCTGCCCAAGCAAGCTGCACAAGCCAAAATGTTGCTCTGCTTGAGCAAGACTAAGTGGTCAAGGCAGCCTTGAAATAGTCCTTGAATATCTGCTCAAGCAAGGTACAGGACCCAAAATTTAGCAGTTAGACATATCATAGGATAACAAACAGGTGGTCACATCACAGCTGGACAGGGGTGAAGGAGTCAGGGTTGCAGGGATTTTATCTTCCAAGAATTTAGGTTAGGGACAAAAAAGCTAACAAGCAGGCAACAAGACAGATGCCTAGCACGAAATGGAGTTTCGTTAGCCACTGGATGGAAGACAGCTGGTCCCCTGGTGGGGTACCTAACCAGATGAGGAGTCTTTCAGCAGATGGACCTACTGGTAAGAGCAAGGGACCTCAATATTTGAGGTTCTGGGAGGATTAAAGATCTCCTGGGCCTAAACACAAACCTATAGCCTGGTGTGATGGCACATAATTTTAGTCCCAGCATTTGAGAGGCAAAAGCAGAGACAGGTTGATATCTGTAGGTTCAAGGCCAGCCTGATCTACATAGTTAGTTCCAGGATGAAATAGAATGACCATGTGGAAAATTAAAAAAAAAAAAAAAGCTTGCACCCTCTGTGCTCCCTCTTCTCACTCAGCAATTCCCTGGTGATGGCTCTCAAAGGGACTCTCTGCTGAGAATCCTCAAGGCAGGTCAGCTCTGCATTCTCTCTGATCCCCCATTTGGTGGCCTCTATTTTCAGGCCTTTGTCTCTGGCTTAGATTCTGGCTTATTTCTAGATACCCAGTCTTTGAAAAGAATGGGGACCTCAGGAAGGATCCCCATGGGAGGAGGGCTAGAGGACAGAAGTCTTGCTACCCAGAAGCCCCACTGAAGAAACTTATCAAACCTTACCTTATTTCACTCACATAAAAACTGAATACAAGCTTCCCTGCCTGCGGCTGTTGGCTTCTCCAGAGACAGACTGCCCTTATTCTTCTTTGTTACCCTCCCTCTGAGTGTACCCCAAGATTGCATGTTCTTTTCAGTTCACAGTGGTCACTGGGAATGAAGACAAGCACTCCAAGGGAAGCTTTGAGCCCAGAGGTGTTTAAAGTAGACAAGAATGTCATAGCAAGAGGGGAAAACAATGGAGAGGAGACAGAGGAGGCCATGACTGTGGTGCCTGAGCATGTGATGGCCTGGAGGCAGGAGGGAGGGGAGCTGAGCCAGGCAGCTCAAACAAACCAGAGGACCTGCCAGCCCTGAACTGCACTGGATTAGCTCACTCAAGGAAAGGGGGATTCAGGCTCCAGAGAAAGTGGATAGAGAGGTGATGGGACAGGGTGACCAAGATCAGCTGTTCCCATGGAATTTAGCCAGACATATGGGAATCGTGGTCTCCACTAGGGAGAGCCTCGTAGCAACATGGAAAGAATTGCTTGGTTATCCTAAAGTAAACGGCCTCCTCTCTCAGGACAGAATCTTCTCAGGCTGGACTCAGACTCACTATGGAGCTGAGGATAACCTTCAACTGGTGATTCTCCTGCCTCCACCTCCTCAGTGCTGGGATCACAGCTATGCGCTAACATACCTGCTCCTGTGGTCACCAATGCCAGGTCGCTTTACCCAGTGAGCCAGACCTCCAGCCTTCCTATGTACTTTTATATACTTTGTTCTTTTGTCTAATAATTTAAATCTATAGGACTGAAGAAATGGCTCAGCAGTTAAGAGCATGTACTGCTCTATCAGAAGGCCAGAGTTTGGATGCCAGCAGCTGTATCAGGTTGTCCATTAACAAATGTAACTCCAACTCTAGGGGATTGGACACCCTCTTCTGGACCCTGCAGGGTCTCTCTCTCTCTCTCTCTCTCTCTCTCTCTCTCACACACACACACACACACACACACACACTCACTCACACACACACACACACACCAAGAAATAGTAAATCTTTACATTTATTTGCAATAGGCGTATAAAAACAACATATTTACATATTTTGAGAGTACCACACAGTGTTCTAATACATGTTGTATAAATTGTACCATGGTTAAACGGTGCATGTCTTTCTCTTCAAATACTGGTCACATTTGAGTGTAGCTTTTATATGGTCAATCTAAACAAATCGTTTGGGGTACTGACCTGCCTCACTTAGTCAGTGAGGACTTCTACATCCTTTCCAGGTCCTCGTCCTATAACTCAAGCTCCTCCAAGGCCCCTGGGAGCAGAGAATTGCCAGCCAAGACAGAAGGCCCCCAGGGTGTGTTTGGGACAATTTTCAAGCAAGAAAGACATAAGGTATAGAGCAATCTTGGAGCATGAGAGAGAGAGAGAGAGAGAGAGAGAGAGAGAGAGAGAGAGAGAGAG